CCAGAGGGGTCTATCCGGGCCAGCAGGATCTCGTTTGTGGGACCGCATGGTTTCTCGGCTACGATCGGGTACCGTTAGGGGGGGCGGGGGCTCTGCACGTCTTCTTTCTGGTTGCAGGCTCGGGCGAGAACCGGAAGTGGCTGGCACCAGACGGGCGTTTTTCGGCCAACACGCGCACGCACACTTTCGACGGACTCTTCTTTCACAACCCTTTCATACCCCATGAAGAAGGTCCGCTTGCACTCTGTTCTACTGGACCGACACATTCCCATCAGAAGGGCACGAGAGGTCGTGTTGTTCTTTCGGCGTATCCCGCTGTGTACGAGATGCCATTCTCTCTCCCTACTCCCTCCCCACTTTTGACCACTTTTTTAAGCTCCGTCGGTAATTAGCCCAATGTACACAGGGGACCGGCCTCTCTCGTTATCTTCATTCGTACGAATGGTAGGAACCGGGGGTGGTGATAGGGGCTGCTTGCAACGCTGAAACAAGAGGTGGCTAATTATCGTCCTCTGACATACAGATACAGAATAGCCCCGCCGAATGACCGCTGCGTTGGATGTGGTCCTCTTAGAAGTGTGATTACAAATTGCTACAAAAACTAGCGATGACGAGAAAAATGCAACACCTCGTATTACATCTCCTCAGCTTTGTCCCCTTCTGATAGCAAGCAATGACAACTGCTCGAGAACAATTGATGACAGATTGGGTTAGTCCTTCAAGACATATGTAGATGCTGCGATAATGTCGTAATTAAAAGACAAAGAACAAGTTTGACCCTCAGATGATTATTTCCGTAAATATGAATGAAAGGACAGAAGCGTCAGTTGATTTCGCACTATGCATGCGAAATGGGCGGAAGTAGGTTAAGAGCGAGCCTCATGTCTCAGCCTCCGAACATCACAAGATGAAGAAGTGGACACTTTGAAGACTTTTTATAGCAGCGAGCTTTAGGAGCATTTGTGGCTAAACAAAGAAACAGTTACTATTTCACCTGCATAATTCAGTGGCTTAAGCGGGGCTTGGGGCCTCGCTTTCGGGCTGCTTGCTTATGCCCGCGTGTTCATCCATGCTCGCCAAAACCAATCAACACAGGTGTCGAAGCGTTGTTCTCCGCTTTCACACCAATGAACATGAGTCTGCATCACACGTATCCTCTCAAGAACCAAGTCGGAGCTCATCATTGAACTCATCTACACGCGCGAACCACGCCGTTCTCTTACACAATGACCTGGGGCGTCGAACGGAAGCCACGAGGGTTAGCGACCGCGGCACAAGAAGTAGCGGTGGCGCCGGCGACTCTCAAGTCTTCGCGGCGCCGGGCAGCATCCAGTCATCTATCTATGCGGCCGAGCAGGGCCATAAACTTCAAGCGATCGTCACAACGGCGGCTGGCTACCGCCATGCTTCTTCGGAAGCGTCGTAGCCATCATCTCTCTAAAGGGCTACTGGAGCGAACATGGGGTGGGGTATTCTTGCCGCCCCCTCTCTACGGCTGTGAAGCGACAAAGGCGTCCGCCTGTCCTCACGGTGGTGTATGGAGGCGTGATCAAACCGGTACGCGACGTGTTCGACGCGTTGGATACCCTTGTTTGTTTAGCCGCATGATTCGTGGTGGCATCGCCCGGGGGCCGACGCAATGTGTTTGTTATCGCTCGTCTCCCTCCAGCCCTGCCGCTGAAACACGTACGCATACACACTTCAGACAACCTATCCCGTTGTAATGACGGCAGTCGGTGGCGTTGGATTACATCGGAACGACGAAACCGGCAAAGGCAGGCTATGCGTGAGACGCGGGAAGCGCGGAGTACTCTAGCGGGATGATGTGAGATTGCTCGATGAAAGCAACGATGACACCCTGCGGGATCCATTACTTATCTTTACAGTCTTTACAATAAATGTCGAGCGTTTCGTCCGCGCTTCGTCTTGAATCTTTGATATTCAAGCAAATGTAGCAGCCTGACTCTGTTGCTTTGGTTTCGTATTCGCGCTTCGCTGAAGATTCATTGGGTTTGTGATTGATCGCTCAATTGATATGATAGTTCAAATAAAGCATGTATTGTGCATAGTGCACCTCAGAGAACCTCGGATCGAGCTTCCTTATTCTCTGCGTACCGTACGAAATGCTAGCCGCACCATTCTAAATTTCATCCCGATTAACGAACTAGCACGGTACGGCATTTCACATTGATATTCACTGGTTAGTTATGCCTCAGCTGAATTATTAATTGGCTTATTCGGCTTTGACTAAAATCCGCCGTATTTAATTATTTCTGTCCAGGCTAGTAAATAAACAAAGTTAGGAACTTCTCGAAAAGCTTCTTCACTCTTGATAACTCAATCGCACCTCAGTTTTTCCTGCACCTAAGGGGTCCTGGCACGTACGCTTACCTGTGCTCATGACACATGAAGGTGATGGTGCCCATAAATACGGCCATAACATTCACTGTCCGTGTCACAACCGTTCATGTGACTGCCCTTTAGGCTGTATAGGGTTAAAGAACTGTCAGTGTGACGCCGACGCAACAGCGGCTGACATCTTCCCGAATTGGCATGATAACCCCGTATCAAGATAGCACTCTTTCAGCATGGTGTATCTGGGGTACTGTAGCTTCTTCCTAAAGCAGCGTTTTCCCCCCTTGGCATAGCTATGTAGCACGCTGTGATGACCGTCCCCTTTACAGCTATACGCAGTCATACTCTTTCACGGAAACAACCGACGTGGGAGTACAGTGTTGAAAAAGTGGCGAAACAATCACGTCTTTGTCTTGCCGCTCTATATATACCGTCGTAAACGCAATGAAGGGAAAGCAAAGAAGCGATACGTCAACTTTGCTGCGCTATCTAAGTACCGCCATGGTGCTCGGAATGTCGTATGGGTGATAGGGTGATACCGGGGCCAGACAAGGGCAGTTGGTCTTTAAGGCTGTATCTGAAGAGCTCGAGTGCGAAGTCAAGAATGCGAGCAGGTATGCTGTTGTGTGAGCTTGAATCCGTGCAATTCGTGCGATTCGCTAACCAGGTAAGTGAAGTGAGATCATCGAAGAGGCTAGCAGCTGCAGTTTCTGTTACCTGCGTTTCAAAATCTGTGGCTGCGGACACTAATCCTGCCCTTCAAGTTCAGGCATTTCCTCGTCAAAGGGAACAACCAAGTGTCCAGAAAAGAATCGTCGCTCTACGCGATGCGAATATTCAAAGAAACAATAGCCGTGCCAAAAAGACAAGTTTTTGTACGGAGCTTAACGGCCGCTTACTGCTAAGGCACACAAATGAATTGTCAATCGAGGACCATCGAGTAATGGAGTTTTTTCATGCACTGAATCACTTGGCACAGCGGTTAACGCAAAGGTAGGGCAGAGGGACCCAGCCCATTTGCTGAAAACACTCTATAATGATTTACAGGCCGCTTGCCTTCCTCATTGCTGCGCAGCTTTCTCGTGTCTTTGCGTATGTGGCCTCTCTGAAGCCTTTATGTGGAAATAAATGCTAAGGCAGCGCTGATGGGGATAATGACACTGGAGGTCAGGTCTACGAGTGACAGGTCGCACAAGAATGTTTCACACAGGTAAAAAATATTTTGTTTCCGTTGATGCCGCGGTTCCTTTTAATGTCACCCTGCGTGTGGAGGGTACGCTGGTGGGGTGTGGTTGGCCGATTAGACTACGCATGGACTGTTTTTTTTTTTGACGCACCAACACCACTAGTATTTGTATGCAATCCATCAATGGAACTTGCATGAGCGAGTGTTACGACAGGACTACTAGCAGCGAGAAGAAGCCAAGTAAGCAAACAAAAGAAATTACCGTAAAATGAAGAAATGGTACGATATCGGAAACCGGCAGTTGGGTAGGTCCCTGCCAGAGGTCGTTCCCGAGACTATCAGGCCGTTTAGGAGGACATTGCTCCTAACCGTCAACTGCGTGCCATTTATCTATGCAGTGGAATCACCGGCCTTGCTGGAGACTCTTTCGACATTTTCTTTACTCTTTCTTTTTTTTTCGTTCGTCTAGCTCTTCCTTCGTGACCGCCATCTTATTTCCTTTGTGACGCGGGGTGGCCGTAGAGAGGGCACTTTGAAAACTGCACTGCAGACTCGATATAGAGTTACAATCCCGAAAAAAAAAAAAGATGGCAGTAGCACTGCTTCTCTCCTTTGCAGCCGCCGACAGCTCGTGATTGATGAGCAAAGCGCTTCCTATTCTTTAGTTCTTTGCGTTTTTGAAACCAGGGAGGTCTGCGTAGACAGCGTAGTGCAGGTCTAAAGTCGTTGCTGAAGAGTAGCGTCTGAGTAGAACCGAAACGTTTCCAATGACTGGTCGTGCCACTTTCTTTGTACATTCTTTTTTTAATTTAAATTTCTTGTGTCCACGTTAACTCCACAAATCTGCGGTGACACTGGATCAATTACACGGCGGCAGACTCGCCGCACACGTGAAGAAATTAACGCGACGTATCGGTTTACGTGAAACCAAGTAAGCGTACAAGCTACGGCACAAGTCCATCAATGAAATCAGCTGTATCTTCACCGGATAAACCTCAACAACGTAGCCTCCAAAAACAGAGCTCACTGAAATTGCTGTAAGGTTCTTAACATCGCTTTTATGAACGGTGTTGGTCTGTCCAAGACGGTGTCGGTGAAACTATGGAAAGCTGCGTTCACTCGATTGACTATTGCACAGCTACCACGCTTGACAAGTTTCCTCACGTAGCAAAAGCTTTTTTATTACTTTAGTGTTATTTTCACTAGAATTCGTTACAACACTTGTTTAACTTTTAATCTCCTAAAGTAACTTTGCTAATGTTCATCTCGCTCAGCACTACTTTGTCACGACAGGACTGTGGTGATACGGATCAATGCCAAGCTCGTCTGTCCAGCCTGTTTTTCAGTTGTTGCTGAATTGACTCTTGCGAACTCGAGTTTACGTCAATGGAAAACGTCCGCGACTCCCGTCGTAATAAAAAAGATGTCAAACAAGCAGAACAAGCGTATAGGTGCTGACCTTGAGTTCCTCCCTTGTGACCGAGTAGTCGGTGAACATGGAAAGCCTCTCCAGGGACAGGGGCTTCGTCTGGCGAAACTTTGAGGCTAGCAACATGCACACGGCTCCCGTGAGTTGCAGTTGGCACTTGCGCACTGGCCTCACTGACAGGAATCGGTCCAGGCAGTTCATGGCGAGAGGGTAAACCTCAGGCCGACACTGTTCCACCTCGCACACCTTTGGTACCAGGACCGGGTAGAACATGGTTTGGGGAGGAGAGAAAAAAATGAAATCAGATTAAGTTGAGAAAAAAAATCATTGCTTTCAAAGTATAAGTGATACACACTAAGAAATACAAACAATAAAGTGAAATGCCCAAAAATATTGTGAACATGCAGTGCGTCTCGCCAAGTCATGGCCACGAAGACCTCTTCACAGCTGCTAGATAATGGGCAGTCATCATCGCCCTGTTAGTATTGCTCGGGATTGTTGTCTACATATTTGTCCATCGCAAGATAAGGAGTAATGAACTGTCACATTGCTGGCAGTTGTTATGCATCAGCATGCTACAGATACACTGGTTCATATTCTTCTTTACGGACATGTACTGGCCTGCTCATATTGGCGTGATGTACTTTTTCATAAATTTTTCAACCCAGATAACAGTTGCTCAGTGAGCATTTCCTCGTGACTGTTAATAAAATGAATTCTTTATCATGACGTACACGTGATTTGGTATGTTCAGTACGCAACAGTGGGTTATGCTTCCACTGAGCAGCGGATGTTGTAATGCGATCTAATGCCCTGCAGCATGTGCGAGAAAGATCACACGAAATGTTTCATGGAGCTTTGGAAGCACTGGATCGTTATTATTTACTGCCTTGAACTGCAGCACTGCGCATTAGGGAAACATATTCAGCGTTCCTTCTGGGAACGAAGGAGACGCCACTCGTGGAAAGCTAGTCCATTCAATGCTGATACGGCTACTGAGAGGTCCATTGTTTCGAGCCATGCGTACGATAAAGAACGCATGCTTTTTTCATCACGCCATCCTCTAAGAAAGTTATTTCCAGGAACGCGAAGTACGCGAAAAGTCTTGGAGCAAGACCAATGAAGTGAAGTCATCTCTTCTAAACGCAGTTAAGCTGCGCCAAGACGCTGGAAACAATTTATCGTCTTGCTGTTGAGTGGGGCGGAATAAAAATCTATGCGCGCATTAGTGATGCGGTCAAATATTGTCGCTGTTAAAGACTTAATTTCAGTTATCATTACAAGAATTAATATTTGGTTACAAAGTGGCGAAGAGGAAATATAGAATATCAAATGCTTTTGCGAGCCACGTTATTTACGAGCGCTTTAAATTAACCTCACGCGTTTTCAGGGCAGGGCGTATTGAAATTCACGTGCGGCATTGCGCTCGCATAATCGAAGTTGCAAAGCTTTTCGTACAACGATTGCTCAAAGTCTGCACTCACAACTTCAAACGGCTCACGGCGGGTTTGGACAATTTACGCAGTGTGCATCGCGCATAACATGTAGAGGAAGTGTTGCATAGACGGCAAGTGTTTTTCCTTCTACATACACACGTGTATTGAAACCAGGGAGAATGCCACAGGCCGGTGTGCCCTTCGCACTTGACTGTGCTCGCAGAACGTCAAAGCTTCACTGAGGCGCCTCTATAAGAACAGCTGACAATACACGGTAGAGGTATTACGGTATACACTGCGATAGCGCGGGACGTAGATAAAAACGGGGCTAGAAAAGAACAAGATAAAGAAGAAAAAAAACTGCTGAGAGAGCGACTCCCATGTGAACTTGACACGTATATCGGGAGCAGGGTGGGAGATAGAAGACAAAAAAAAAGTGAAGAAGGCTCTAGGCGAGACGAGACGTGTGCTTCCCTTGGGGGTGCTTCTCACACCTGCTGACGAACGCGACACCTAAGACGTGAAGTTCAGGGGCAATCTGCTGATCAAACGCTGTTTTTTGTTTTGTTTCCTTCATTCTGCTTTTTGCGCAAAGTCTACGTCATTGAAGTACAGACCACTTCGCCACTGCGGAAAGCGACTGGCATGGACATAGAGATAATTGTTGTCAATGAAGTGTAGGACAGTTTTGAAGTTTCTTTGCTATCGTCACACTTCAGTTTAGATGCTAGTGGATAAATACGAGGAGCTGCGAAATCCTACGACTGCTTCAATTGAAGCCATGGACCGCCTGCCCCGAACTTTGAACGATAAAAAACTGAAAGGGATAGAGTGGAGGCAAAGATATCTCTGCATTAACACTGACCTAAGATTCGCGGTTGAGTATTTTTTTTAACTTGCTGCTTCGAATAGGATAGCAGTAAACGTTACAGGCGATGAAATGAAGGTTCCTCGGGGTAATATATGTGGATTACAAAACGATTAGTGCTACACGTTGGATGATATAGTCATAAAAATCCAGACGGCATGTCTGTGTGGACAACATAAATGTATACATATATAGTTTTGCACCAGGCTAACAATCAAATTGCATCAAGGTTTCCTTTTGAGAGTAGCACGCAATCACGACGAATGTCTACACAGTGGCACATGCTCACAACAAAGCACTCGAGGAGGCATAACGTTCTCATCTAGTTTGGTTACCTGCCAAACCGCACGGGGGCCAGTCAAGCTAGGTCGATTGTGTCGGTCGAAGTTGACCACGTCATAAATGTATTACTCGTATTGGGTTGGGCAGGTAGATACGACGGAACAAGAGGCCAAGTGAGGATCATGGGTGAGGGCACATCATCTCTTCCGAAATCAAGTCAAGAGGATCCAACCCCCCCCTCCCCTCTATAAAACAATACATGTGCACGAGTGGAGACAAACCCGTCGGGAAGTCTTATCTGGCTTGCCTCTGCCGCTTCGCGAGCTATTCGCCAGATTGGGTGAACGTGCGTCTTGATCCTGGACAGTGCATCGGGGACGAAAGGGACGACGGAGTGTCCGGCGAAAGCCTTCAGTGCTCCGATAAAGGAATGTCGTACCCTGAGACGATGGGTTGATGAGTTACGTGAGGCTCTGGGACAAAGCGCTTTCGCGCTGCGTCTCCTTCCTATCTGACGACACAAAAAGGAGGGTGCATCGCATGTCCGTGAACTAAGGAGAGATGCTGCTGAAGGGCCAGGTCCCGCTCCGGATAAGAAAAAAGAAAGCGACGTAGCACAAACGCTCCTCTAAAGCGTCTTTTTTTTTTGCTCTCTTTTTTTTATATTGGATTACAGGGTTGTAGTGGAGTGGGCCTCATTGCTGCGACAGCATTGCTTCGATGACACTTGGCTGCGAAAAGGGCGCAGATGCACTTGTCGCCACAGTGCAAGGTATAAGTCGTTAATGAATTTATGCAACGGAAACAAATGCAGAAACGCACTAGTGGTCGCCCGCGTTACTATAGTGAAGGGACCGTGCATGTTAAATCTGGCGCCTTCCACTGCGGTGTCTGTGATTATCATACAGGGGCTTCGGGATGTAAAACTCGGCAGACTATAATTAGTATGATATTTCTATTGGTATTTATAATGCTAATTATATAATATAACTATTATTATTGAAGAGAAACTGTGTGATCAACAAGCCTAGATTTATGAAGCATCTCATCATGACGGACGGTGTAGAAAGGAATGTGTGAGGACTTCTTAACCTTGGCACGTCCCCTCCAACACGCGCAGGTTAACCAATCAATCACGAGGCAAGGGAAGAACGAAAAGGTAAGAGGAAATCACCTTGGTGAAAGTTCGTAGAAAATTTGTTCTCTGTTCGATACACCTGTTCAACGAAGACTTTGGTGCTGTGATAATGCACTGTGAGCTTTTGTCCAGAAAGGAGGTGCTCGCTATAAGCATGATTTGGTTCGCGAACCATAAAAAGTCAATGACCCTTGCTTTCAGCGCAGGCGTTTGAAGCAGGACGACATTGCAGCCTACGGGACCTCAAGAAGAAAAAAAAAAAAAAACACTGTCGTAAGAAGCGCGACCACCAAATCAGCTTTTGAACGAAACTTGCGAACGCTGTGGAAACGATATCTGTCCGCCTGTCTCGAGCTTTGCCTCTTCAAGCGTCTGCGTCCTCCTTAATCCGTGCTGAACAGCTGGAAACCGATTCCCAACCTTGTCGACAAGCTCCGGTGGGTGACTTTTCCAGCGTGCATGTGACACTGCGCATCCTATAGTCAACATCTGCGTGCAGCCTGTAGTGGCGATGACTCCTTTTGCAAGGGTGTCTTCACACCCTTACAATGGTGTATGCACATGTTTGGGGGGTGCACCCCTTCATCCAGAAGGTGCGCTTCCGATAGCGCCAACGCCCCTCCTGGAGAGGAGAGCATGCCGACGACCACGTTGCACGGAAACACTACTCGAGCCGCCGCGTGCAATGCGAGAGCGGCAATGTTACTGCAGACTGCACGGAACTAGTGCAATAGCTCGTCCTGAAAACAGCCTACGGGTAAGAACGAGGGTGGCAGAGAAAAAAAAAAAGAAGCAGAATGGATATGGGCGGTGAGTTAAAGCTGAGTACTAGAAAAGTGTGCGGAATAACACAGAAATGCAGAGAGCTGGGTGGCAGGTTTAAAAGAAAAAAGGAAGAAAAGATCAGCGAAACCGCAGCTAAGGCTCTTCTCTCCCTGCGAGCTTTTTTTGTTATTTATTGAGTTTCTTTGCAGCATTTTTTTTTTTCATCTTCTGCGAAGCGCCATTCCACCTGTCCCCCCTTCGAGGTGGCCTTCGGTGTGGTACAGGTTCTCCTGTTCGCCACGAGTGCAGTACCTGACCGGACTTCGATTAGATCTTGCGCATTTACCTTCGGCGAATGCGAAAAAAATAATATAAGTATGCGGAGAAAACTAAAAAAAAAACTGAAATTAAGTATCCAAGCTGCTACGACACTTCGCTCCGCTTAATGGATAGGCGCACAGCAAAAAAGTCACGGTATGCTTCTCAATTAAAACAGGAAGCCAATTTCGGTCGCGTAGGCGAAAGCCTATCTCACAGCTGTATTATTCTTTCTGGTTTTTTTAGCCATCATTTCCTCGTTGTGCTGAGTAGTATTACTTCGGATATCGCATCGAGTTTTCGCAAAAATATTGTCTCTCAAACCCGACCGACAAGCCCGACCGACGTGGGTGTTCGAGCATGCTACTTACTTATGGGTTTTATTTTAGTCTCTGCTGTCGTCTTTTTTGTTTCTTTAGCCGGAAATAATGCGTCTTTGATGAGTGCGCTTGTTTCAGTTTTTTATCCGCAGCAGGTTTTTTTTTTTTGTGACTGCTCGGTCTTTTCATCCTTTCACGGTTATATTTATTGCCTCGAGGATCAGTGAATTGCAGAATATTGTCGACGAAAATAAATTAACTACATGATGTCTACGATACAGTTGTCATGAACTAACCAAACGAATCACAATACCATTTTTGTTGTTCTTGCATAATAGAGAAATTGGTTGCGATGTCAGGGATGTTTCTTCTTCAATATATATATATATATATATATATATATATATATATGGGAGAGAAGTGTATACCTAAGGGCTCGGATTTCCGTGGTTTAACACAATATTAATGAGATATAACAGACAGTAATGCCAAGTAATGTACAGGGGAAGTTATTAGAACCAATGGAATGTAAATAAGAAGAAAGAAAAGTGGATGAAAAAATTACCAGCTGTGAGCAGGAATCGAACCCACGACCTTCGAATAACGCGTTCGATGCTCTAACCACTGAGCTATCACAGCGGCCGTCCCTCCATCCACTTTTTGGGGTTTATATGTGAATTTAGAAGTAGGAGTGACAGTCAGCGCCATCTATAAGCCAAACAACGAGTGTGAAAACACTCTTCATTGTTCAGAGCTTTTCTTTTGCTTAGTCGAAAAGTGCACTCGAACTAGTGCTGTCCGTAGTAGGATAGAGGAAAAAAAAAAGCTCTCACTGTATACCTATATCGTCAAGGCAAACTGATAACAATTTCGGATGTAAGGCATCATCTGTCTGTCAGGACATCTCCATGAAAAACAGGTATAAAAGGCCGCTAACATGGCATGTATGCAAAGGCGATACAATCGCCGGTCATTAGTGGTAACAGGGTGGATTTTCAAGAGAACAAAAATGCGCGAGGGGGCGATGGAAGGCGAGGTGGCCGATATGACAGTTTGCGAGAATAACACGTGTGACCGCTGCATGCAAGCACAGAATCGGCGATGCGTAGTAGGTGTCTTCGCCCTGCAATTGGTGTTGCCAGACTTATGGTGTGGATCGTGTCTTGCAGTCGCTTTAAGGACCTTGATTGAAATAGTCATGCTGCTTTAGGCAGAACGTAGAACACCCATTGAAAGCGTACCGGTTTTAAGAAGCACTTATTGAGTTAAAAAGGGGAACAAAAGCTTTTAAAAGATTCAGAGTGATGAATTCAGTAAGCAATGCGTACTAAACAAAAAAAATATGGTCGTGGATGGCAGTGGTTTAAGCCATGGTAATAATGCTGCCACGGGGAATAATTTTAATGAGTTCATCCTTCGAACATGGTACTAGGAGTCAACGTGGAACTCTGGACCTGCATGGTCATTTTACTGTTGGCGTTTTTTTTTTTTTGCAGCTGGAGTCATAACCTGGCTGTTTAAAAGGTATAGACGAATATTTTTTGGGTAAAGCTCCTTTATGATGTCGCCGCACAATATTTCATTAGAACTAGAGCTTAATTGAAACATAGGCAGCGAAACCTAAGGCCCGTCGCTGGGCTAATTGGTTGGGCTTTATCATTCATCGACAAAGCACAAAAGACACAAAAGTATATGCGAGTGTGTGCCTTTTGTGTCCTCGTCATGGTGCGCTACACCCATATGAACCACTAAAGTTGTCTCCGGGTGCAGAAAACAAGGTGTCTCGCAAATCGGCTAATACCTCGGGGTTCAGGTGCCCATCGAAGCACTGGGAGGCGCAAGTGAAACGAGTGAAAAAATAAGCGAGCCATCGGTGCGTTGCTTTTATGGGTGACCATCCAACGCGATGTCGTCTGACGAGCTCTGCAGATGTGTATTACCAAGAACGTAAATGGTCGCAATGACACTCGCAAGTGACGATAAGCGGTGCTATGGCGGCAGAAAAAAAAAAAAAACGCAGACGTTCGGAGCGGCCACTTTTTCCTTAGCCGAAGAGATGACCGTGAGCTTATACGACTCAAAAGCAAAATAAGAAAAGGAGAGAACGGCCACAGAATCGTAATACTGAAAAAAAAAAACAGCCTAAACTAAATACCCCCTCCACGGCGCTGCGCTGCTGTAACCGGGCCGCAACAGCTGACCTGTCTTGGCCGAATTGCACTGACATTCGCCTGAGCCGTCATCACCACTCACCTGCGAAGTTCCCGACGGGGTGTCTCTGAAAAAACTTGTTTCCTTTATACTTTTTTCCTAGTGCGAACGAGGCTCGTGTTTTCTCTGAACTACGGGGCTAGTAGTTTCTGGAAGATGCGCTTTGGTTGTACTAGCGGCGTGTACAAGCATCAATTTGTAGGTACAGAAAAGCTACTAGAAAGAAAAAAAAAAGAGCAATGTTGTCGATCGGCTGTGCCAAAAATGTACCGGGACGAAATATCCCATTAGCGGATTTGTTCTGGTGGTATATGGTTCTTTCTTTTCTTTGCGTAATAAGGGTGTACATGATACGAAAGTCCACTTGTAACACTTCATTCTCTTTCATTTGCCAATGGTACGTGAAAAGGGCGTGCGACCAGATAATCAACCCTCTGACGATGCCATCTATCGCAGACGGTTTGCAACAACAGGGCGTCACGGCGTAATGATAAGAACTGCTGCGGAGGGGCCGAGTCTCGAGATAGCCGTTTCCACGCCCGGGATTACCCTCACCGTGAGAAAATGAAGCAAAGTCACTCGTTTCGGGTATGCATACTTAAAGATCGCCACGTCTTGGCGTTCTCGGCTGATACAACAAAAGGCGCGGTCGTGCGTAGCGCTGCCGGCCTTGCATGTTTCGCAGGGACGTTACGCTCAATTCCTGGGTTACATAACGACATTGCGGCAACACCGTCGCCAGCAGCGCGCGCAAGTACTACTACTCCTCGACGGAAGCGCGCCAAGACGCAAGACACGTGGAACAGATCGGGTCGGCACGATTGTGCGGGGCTGCCACGAGGCGCTCGTGCATGAGTTAACGCATGCGTGCCTTGCATCTGTCTGGTTAAACGGTGCGTTGCCTGGTTAGGCCATGCTATTAAACGATTTCCACTTCGCCTGCTTTCACGCGTACTAAGCTGCCTTCACAGCAGCCACATGCCGGTAGGTGTACATTGAGCACCGGGTATCTATTTCCCTGTGGTTTCTTACATAACGTTTTTTTTTTTTTCTGAAACATAGGCCTACGTGGTTCCCGTGTAGCGCTTATCGGGACAATGAGATGCCAAACCGTAGGTTCGAGAATGCCCAGAGAATCGATAGAGGGTGTAGGGCGAGTCGAGCGAATGTACAGAGGCAATCGCCACGATGCAGGCACAGGCAACTCAAATCCGAGTGACACAGCAGAAGCGTAAAGCAAATTCCAAACCAACTGACCTCAAGCATCCAGCGTCCGACGATCCGTCTCATGTTGACAGAGAGCTCCTTTTGGACACAGTTGAAGTAGCGAGGGTTGATTGGGTACCTCTCCTCGGACCTGAGCAGGTTGTCAAGCACTGTGCAGTCGTCGAAGATGGCCGGGTCCCTGTATGAGCACACGGGACCCTGGCCCTCAGGCCGCTCCTGGAAATCCACGTCCTTCTCGAGGCACAAGAGCTCCGCCATTATGGTGGCCGGCTGCATACAGCCCAAGAAGCTCTCTACTCTGCCACTGGCCGGTCTTCCCGTTCGGCGCTGGCCGTATTCGTAGTCCTCTGCGCCAACAAGCGACAGGTGCCCGGGGAACGTCAACAATGGTCGAGGCCACGAGCGCAGCAAACTATTGTGCTATACTGACCCTGAACACCGACTGACACATGGGGCAGCGTTCAAGAGGGGTGAACTGGATGCCAGAAAAACTCTCAGCTGAGGATAATGGCGCCGGAATTTTCGACGACAGGTCGTCTTAACTCTCCAATTTCACGGCTCGAGAAAAATCCGACGGGGATCGCGAGGGTTTCCGCTTAGTGACGGTCGGCAAAGCGACGAGCTTCTATTTCTTTTTCTTTCTACGATTTCGTCTCGACCACCAGGCAACGTCACGACGACCCTCTGTAAACGCCCCTGGTTCACCCCGAACAGGCACGGCTGTCGAGGGGGTCGTGGCCGTTGTGCGAGATGATTTTTGCCTAAGGACACGACGACGCTGGGAGATGTGCACTCGCCAACCGTCAAGTGTGTGTATGAATCGCGGCGGACTGCTCACCAAGTCCGCCACCACACCATTGCGAGAAGGGGGGGCAAGTGAAAACGTACTCGGCCGAGTGAGGGAGCAGGCAAGGAGGTAGGGGCAAACTGCATCCAGGAGCAGGGGCGATTACGCGTTACAGCTCCCACCTCCTCCGCAGTTTTCTCTCTCCGAAGCTGCGCGCCCTCCGATGCCGAGTTTCTCGACACCCGGCCGCAGAGAGCGGTGCGATAGATGCCCCTGCCTCCTCACCTCTTCGACACACGTCTCGCTACCCACCACCGCGTCCCTTCGGAAAGGGGGTGCACTCCTCCTTTCCCAATCTGCCGCGTTGCGCTGCTGTTCGTAGTCGTCAGTCGGCCAGTCTCCGTCGGGACGTCCCAAGTGGGGGATCATAGCGCTTTTTCGTTCGTAACGGCTACATTCCTCAATTTTTTTTCCTCCGCTCGCGCGTAATTCGCATTTGCTCAACTTCTGCTTGGGGCTACGCCGCCACTCCATCCTATACCCTTGGTTAGACCTGCCCTCCTCCCTCTGCGCACTCTCCCTTTTTAACTTTGTTCTCGATACCCCTAGGGGAAGGCTGTTGCTACCGGGCCAGTGGGTTAGGCTCGGCCACGTTTCAGCGACTCAGAGCATGCCGGCTCGAACTTCGGACCTCGAAGCACCGATACCTAGTGACTACTTCGCGGAGTGGAGTAAAATATACGCACATTTCAGAGACCTTCCAGCATATGTTCTTTTACGTGGTTTAAGGTTAGGGCCATGGTATCGCTGCATCTTGATTCACTTTCCTGATTTTTTTTTTTAATTTGGGGGGGCGGGACGAGGAAAGGTTACCGGTTCGCAACGCGACACGAGTTGATGCATACGAGCGAAGACTGAGCGGCCATGACCTCGAACGCACCCAGTCGCGTAAGGTTGCTCCATGGCCACGGCAGCAAGATTGCAAGGCTTGGCGAATACGACTCATGAGGTGATGGGTTACGTCGCAAACAGTGGCGTGCCCACAGAAGTGCCAGCTTCTGGACCATTTTTTAAATTCTACTTCATCATAGCTGCTGCTGTCTTTTGAGAGGCCCAGTGGCCTCCGCCTGGTATGCTTTTAAAAAAAAAAACGCTTCTACCCTTTTTTTATGTAGCTATAAATGTTGTATTACCAAAATCGTTGCTGGTTGCCCGGCTATATAGACAAACTTAGGTACAAGTTCATTGAAATGGTATTGCTTGTTTTGTGCTTATCCTGCATGAAGACACTTTCCGAGAAACTGCTATGAGTGTAACAAAACAGGTCGCGTCGACAACAGAAGGTTTAGTGGACGATTTGCAAAAAAAACATCTGCGCGACGACTCTGCTGTGCGCGATTTTTAAATTCTTCAAGCTATCTCGTTCACAAAGTGCCACAAACACTTTTGTCTACCAGTTCCAGTGAAAGGTGCGTCCCCCGAGCAACAGGCTCCTTCCTCACTCACTATGCTTGGGAGGAGGGTTACAATGAGGCGTGATAACACTTTAATGACTTTGGAGAAAAAAATATTTGTGACATTCTCGTGCCTTCACTGGAATTCGGAAAGCCGGCAGCACAATGAAGGAAAGCAGCCTGTAAATAATATTGCTTGGTTAAACAAAAAGACCTCGCGGGAGAGTCGTCTTGCATATTTTTGCAAGCCGTCTATTTTGCACTGTTGACAGTTTCAAGGCAAAATTTCCGGAAGTATTCACAAAAAATTTAAGGAGAAGTGCAAGATTTTTGTTCACTTTACACGTATTGGGCCGCACGTGACATGTTTTGAAGTATGGGCCTCTCACAAAGCAATAAAGCTCCTGTGTGGTTTGTACCGCTCTGCAACTCGTCTTTCGTCGTCACCTACTCGGAGTTACGTTAGGAACGTTCGGTATCACGGGTCAACTCATTGAATTTCCATTGGTAAAAGAAACTCCCGGGGAGAATTCGCAAATCTTCCCGTTCAGGTTCAATCGGGCAACAGCGCGGTGTAAACGAAGACGAAGCACGGAACGAGCAACAAAGCACACGAAGCACACCGCTCAGAGAGATAAAATGCATACAGCAAAACTGCTACACTAGCCTGACGATAGTTATAGCGCGAAAACAAAACGACGACACAGAGACAAGAAGGACTCGAAAGACACGGTCTAGTTCGCTACCCCACTCATGTGGAGGAGAGTAAAGGAGAGCAAAGAAGACAAATTTCAGAACACAGATGTAGTGCGGTCTATCACTGGCGGTCACTCAGTTATGTTGCCTTCAAGCACACCAGGAAGGCTTGTGCGGCTTTCTGGGCTCTGTGCTTTGAGGCCAGGTTCTCAACATCTCAACTTCGGTAAAAGGCCGATCGTCCAGTCTCCCCAAGTCACGCTAGAGAGTCCGGCAATGCTGCTCGCAAGTGCTCTAAGAGGCCAGGTGGCTAATCTTGTGGAATGCGTTGCACAGGTTGTACTATTGTGTTAATGAATGATCGTAGAGCTTCGGTCATGTGGGCATGTGTTGTTACGAAAGTGGCATAATTAACATTCGGCCTGAACTATAGAGTTCAAAATGCCATAGATAGGCTAATTTTCAAAGGCAAGCTCACCTGTTTTTGTGTATCCAGTCATGCGCAACACCAAGATTGCATTTGCTGTGGGGTGCACTCGTAGAAACAGGGGGGTGCCTGCATCTGAAAGCAACAGAAGATGCGAAAGAACGGGTTAGGTAGACCCAATTAAAGTTATTTGCGTTGACGCGGCTGGCATGAAAATAAACCCACGCGGAATGCCCGATTAACATCAAACCAGTGGTGCTTACTATTCAGGCACCAGTACCTTTATGAGAAGTTTTATACGTTCGTCATCAATAAAAGAGATTACAACAACAGCGATGGACGATATGTGTTTGTTCGTTGCATCGGAGAAATGTAGGCCCATGATATCGCGAGTCTTAGTGTTGGAACGCATAATTACTTAGCAAGCAACATTCCTGGCATCACGTAAAAGGTTGTTATGAAGCACGTGCGACAAGTTGATGCAGCATATTCTGAAAATAAGAGGGCTTGCACCGCGAACAAATTACACTGGAAACCGTTGATGGCGGCGACTTCACAAAAAGAAAAAAAAAATATTGCTCTTTACGCGCTTGGCAAAGAAACTGCGGTCAATGTGGCGAGAATTGGCTGAATGCGACAACCAGTGAGTAATGGCCAGCTTTACTGACCCATGAAAATAATCTCGATATTTTTATTATGTCTATTTTATAGTGCGAGGGCAGTGCTCTTCTTGGTTATTTCCTTCTTATTGGCCCTTCGTTTGTCGCACTACCTACATGTGCCACAGAATACCAGCTGTACCATTATCAATGCTTGGACTGCAGATAGGCAAGGAATATTGAGAAGGCCGTGACTAGATTTTATAACTGTTACGAATGTTTCTATAACTTCAACGAAAGGGAGATTGGGCAATGGCTTCCTTCTTTTCTATATATTCGCTTTACTCGCAGGATCACCTTCCCTCATTGGATTCATACAAGTTGAATAGAGCTATTTAATCAAGCTTTATTCTTTACCGCAATGCACGTTAAAGAACCCCAGGTGGTCTAAATTTCCGGAGCCCTCCACTACGGCGTCTCTCATAATCATATAGTGGTTTTGGGACGTTAAACCCCACATATCAATCAATCAATCAATTCTTTACTGCAAGTTTTTTAAGTGCACACACTGCAAATTTATGCAGCCTCATTGTATTAAATGTCCACAATCTTTGTGTTTTGCAAGTGAAAGAAAGCGTAAGTCCCGCAGATATCTGGTATTCACCCGGTATTCAGAGAGCCAGTGAGATCCAACATATAGCCACGTCCAGTTTAAAAAATATATAAATAATAAATCTATAAAGGATGCGAGGCTCGCCGAGAAAACAAGCAAGCACTCCTGCTGCCAAGGAGGCGAACAAACTCCTGTTATCTGTTCACGACCTCTATCTTTTGGACGCAGAGTAGCCAGATTACAACAGATGCGGGCGCTGACGGTTTAAAAACCAGACGTGGGATACGCAAACACTGCGCCTTTCTCACATGCAGGGCCAACAGAATTACTTTAAACACCCAGAGGCATCAAAGGTATCTACGTTAAAAGTAAACACTACTCTGTAAGCTCAATATCACAAGTGACAGCATGTCCGTTTATGAAGTGTGTAATGCGTAAGTCTTATACAGGAAATCAATATAGAATCAGCCGTGCGTATGCATTTGCTTGACAACAAACATAAGTCGCTGGGGTTTCGCGTGCCAATACCACGATAGTATTTTTAGCCATGCTGTAGTGAAGGGCGTGTGAAATTCTGACCATTTCGGGTTCCCTAACATGCACCTGTGCCTAAATACACGGTACTCTATGAAAAAATGTGACCAATAAGGCCGCCACTAAACCGGCTAGCTTCTCGTTAGCAGAAGAGCACTGAAATCGCTATACCACTATACCAAATTCGTGGCTCCTGTAATATTCATTGGGCAGGACGCAACATAGTGTCCGGACCAAGAGAAGGTTGAGATGTAGGCATCACAATTCAGTTTAGATGGAGCCTAATAACCTGCTACAAGTTTTTCTGTGAGTTAGCTGCACGTGGGTAGGAAAATGATGACTTGGTTAGAAGTATAGCACATTGCGATGGTGTTCTATATCTTATCATCACTGCTTCCTGTGAAGTAGCTTGCGTGGCATCATAAATCGACTGATGGCTTACGTCGGTGACTTTACTATATGAAAAAAGGAAAATATAAGCATGATACAGCACACGCAAGCAACAAAGTACAAGCACGTATGGGTCTTTTTTTTATATACTACAGTCAGCTTTTTAATCACGGTCTTTCACTGATCTACATCGGGAGCTGAAAGATATTCGCGCAAGCTTACGCAGTCTTATTCGCGGTGACTGAGTTGAGGTGGTCCAAATCTGACTCACTGTTTCGGCTTTGTGATTCGAAGAAGTGGATGTACTGTATGAGACAACCGAGGCCTCTTGAAAATTG